TGTTGCAAAGGGCCAGAATAGAGCAGTTCTGTTGTCATCGACGTGTTGCAAAAGGGCCAGAATAGAGCAGCGCTGTTGTCATCGTCGTGTTGCAAAAGGACCAGAATAGAGCAGTTCCATTGTCATTGGCGTGTTGCCTAAGGGCCAGAATAGAGCAGTGCTGTTGTCATTGTCGTGTTGCAAAAGGGCCAGAATAGAGCAGTTCTGTTGTCATCGTCGTGTTGCAAAAGGGCCAGAATAGAGCAGTTCTGTTGTCATCGACATGTTGCAAAAGGGCCAGAATAGAGCAGTGCTGTTGTCATCGTCGTGTTGCAAAAGGACCAGAATAGAGCAGTTCCATTGTCATTGGCGTGTTGCAAAAGGGCCAGAATAGAGCAGTGCTGTTGTCATCGTCGTGTTGCAAAAGGGCCAGAATAGAGCAGTTCTGTTGTCATCGTCGTGTTGCAAAAGGGCCAGAATAGAGCAGTTCTGTTGTCATCGTCCTTTTGCAAAAGGGCCAGAATAGAGCAGCGCTGTTGTCATCGACAGTTGCAAAAAGGGCCAGAATAGAGCAGTTCTGTTGTCATCGACATGTTGCAAAAGGGCCAGAATAGAGCAGTTCTGTTGTCATCGACGTGTTGCAAAAGGGCCAGAATAGAGCAGTTCTGTTGTCATCGACATGTTGCAAAAGGGCCAGAATAGAGCAGTTCTGTTGTCATCGACGTGTTGCAAAAGGGCCAGAATAGAGCAGTTCTGTTGTCATCGGCGTGTTGCAAAAGGGCCAGAATAGAGCAGTTCTGTTGTCATCGACATGTTGCAAAAGGGCCAGAATAGAGCAGTTCTGTTGTCATCGACGTGTTGCAAAACGGCCAGAATAGAGCAGTTCTGTTGTCATCGACATGTTGCAAAAGGGCCAGAATAGAGCAGTTCTGTTGTCATCGTCGTGTTGCAAAAGGGCCAGATTAGAGCAGTGCTGTTTTCAGACGCTCACTAAAACGCAGGCATTCTCTGAACATCAGTCAAAGGCAGAACGGTGCCTGACATACACGAGTCTCTCTGAATCAACAACGTCCTTCATAACATGTGCCATCTGATGTTCCGGGCAGAACCATCAGGTCATCTCAGTTCAAGTTCCCCATTACAGGCTTGAGACTTTTGACCACAGATCGTTATCAGCAACAAACACCAGACTAGTTAACAGTATCAGCATCTTCACCTACCTCCTTACTCTCCACTACAACTGGACATTTGTCCAGTCTTGTTATGTGTGTGTGTATGTAAGTACTGTGGCAACAGAAGGGTCAAGCTGAATACCCCGGGACCTTATCCAGGATCAAGATGTTGAAAGCATACACTTACGTTTTCACTACGATATCTGTTTAAATGGTGTACTAAATGTTACCGCTGGAAGTAATCCAGGATCAAGATGTTGAAAGCATACACTTACGTTTTCACTACGATATCTGTTTAAATGGTGTACTAAATGTTACCCCTGGACTTAATCCAGGATCAAGATGCTGAGAGCATGCACTTACGTTTTCACTACGATATCTGTTTAGATAGTGTATTAAATGTTACCCCTGGAAGTAATCCAGGATCAAGATGTTGAGAGCATGCACTTACGTTTTCACTATGATATCTGTTTAGATAGTGTATTAAATGTTACCCCTGGAAGTAATCCAGGATCAAGATGTTGACAGCATACACTTACGTTTTCACTATGATATCTGTTTAGATAGTGTATTAAATGTTACCGCTGGAAGTAATCCAGGATCAAGATGTTGACAGCATACACTTACGTTTTCACTACGATATCTGTTTAGATAGTGTATTAAATGTTACCCCTGGAAGTAATCCAGGATCAAGATGTTGAGAGCATGCAGTTACGTTTTTACTACGATAGAGTGATGAAAGTTCAGCTGACGACCAATCGCTCTGGCGGACATTGGTGTTTTAAGCATGTCAATAATTTCCCATCTCCTCGCTTGCGAATATCGTAGCCGTGCCATACTGATAAGTTCTGAGTAAATTATCACGAGTTTTTATCATTGTATACCGTTTGGCACATTCGATTGAAAGTGCTTTTTGTGGGACACGTGGGTACTTTGAGTTCCATGCATGTCATGTTGTGTTGGTGTGTAATCCCCAAACTGAACATTCGTTAAAGGAAACGCCATTCAATATTTTTGCCACAGCAATATTAGGCAAGTGGAGGTGACTCTGTCTTCATAGTTATTGCAAATTTCAAATTCATCTATTCCACCGTCTTTCATCAATTATAATTAACCCATCTCAAAAGTTGAAGTCTTGATGGTTTACTGCATACAGATTAAAATACACGAGCAACACTATAACTACCATAGCTGATGTATATTACTGGAATAAAGTGACTGTTCATTATTAGATGTGCCATTTTTAACATGCAAAAAGGATAACATCATGATTTGCGGTGTTTTCCTTAATCAGAGTTGACAGGATAACATGGAAATCTGTATGATTTCACAATAGGCATCCTGACACACCCTTGAAGAGATGTGCTGTCAAAAGTCGGATCACAAATTCAGTATTGTGAGTGTCCACCATTGGAATTGATGCAGGACTGACAACGACGACGCATAGCCAACACTATGTGATTGAAGAAAGCTTGGGGAATGTTGTTCCATGTCTGAACCACGCTTGTCCCACTTCAGCTAACGTCAATGGCTGATGTCGCTCCATTTCATCCCAAGCGTGCTCGATACTTACAGGTCCAGAGAAACAGCTGGCCAGGGAGTGCCGGAATGTTCTGCTGTCTCCGGAATTCTGTCACAACACAGCGACATGTGGACGGGGATTATCTTGATGAAGCGTGAATTTCTCTGTCCTTGAATGCACATGCGGCCTAATGATCTCATCCCTGTATCGCAGACCTGTCAGATTGCCATTGACAAGTTGTGTCTTACCTGTGATATCCTCCCATACCATAACGCTCCCGCCACCAGACTGCCGACTTTGAACAACGCACGCGTCAGCATACCGTTCACCTGTTGATGTCACACATCAATTCTATTCTCCTACAGTACAACTGACGCCCTGTTTGTTGGTTTGCAGTTGCTTCACGTTGCTAACTTCATTTGGGTAACATCACGTTTAACTGTTTCGGCGGAAAAAATGTCTCAGTTCGACACACAATTCTGCCAGGTTCGCTAACTAAGGCTATGAATCCGTGGAATGTCACGTGACTGGTCAGTTTCATCTGGATTTACGGTTCTAATCTTACATCGGTAGTAGAAATGAGAAAACTCATATACTCCCAGATGGTATACAATCATAACAGATGTAATTACAATAATAGATAGAAGGTATCTAACTCGAATGTAAACAGTATTCAAACGTCAGTTTGGAATTTTACTTCGCAGAAACGGATAACTGTAAACTCATTTAATGTTTTGATTCTATATTTTTGACAACATCTCCAACTTAACCTGAGCAAGACATTTCTTCCCAAACTCAGAATAGAACCCAGGAAATGATCTCAAAAACGCAACCTGATCTCGGAGATGGTACGGTGTTCTCCATGTTTTTCATGCAACTCATAAAATGCACCCCCAAACCTGGTTGAAACATTCATATTACAACGTGAAGCTGGCCACACTGCACAAGCCATTGCCAATCACTTCCAGGTCAACGTTGGATCATCTACAGGCTGCAGCAACGTTTCCGGGCCACCAACACAACAAATGATCACCCCGTACTGGCAAAAGGGTGACCACAAGACAAGACCGCCATGTTGTGCGACAGCATGCACAGAATCCCTTCATGCAGGCATCTGAAACAGCACGCCAGACAGTGGGAACACATGGAAGACCAATCAGTACTGATACAGTACACCGGCGTCTTAACAGCGGGAACCTCCATTGCCGTAGACCTTTATAATACCGTGGACCTATCCTCATTAAATTGCCGTCATCATTGAACATCTGATTTGCCCTACAAAACCAAAACTAGCAATACAGGCAATGGAGAACTATTCTGTTCACAGATGAGTGTCGGTACTGCCCATCCACTGCAGATGGCAGAACAAAGAATATGGCAGCGGCGTGGCCAGCGTTACTCAAACCAATGTGTTATGGAAAGAGACTCATGGGGAGGTGCAAGCATCATGGTATGGGGTGGAATAGGCCCGAACCAGAGAGTTAGTCCTGTGGTGTTCCAGAACCTTGGTCCAGTGAGGAGGCTGACATCTGGCGGTCGCGCTTCATCGACCAAGCTCTCAGACCCCACATCCCGAACCAGAGAGTGGGTCCTGTGGTGTTCCAGAACCTTGGTCCAGGGAGAGGAGGCGGAATCACAGCGGTGCACTACATCGACCAAGCTCTCAGACCCCACCTCATACCACATTTCACACGTCACCGGAACAACATTTTCCAGCATTATAACACCTGGGCCCATACTGCCAGAGCTACACGGGACTTCCTACAGCAGAACGGTGTCAACATTATGCAGTGACCAGCCCTTAGTCCTGATTTAAACCCAATTGAACATCTTTGGGATGAAATTCAGAGGAGACTACAAAATGTCATACCAAGGCCGAACACAGCCGATTTATTGCGCCAGGCCTTTCTAAGAGCATGGCTCCAGGTGCAAATGGCCTTCATCAATCGATTGGTGCACTCCATGCATAGACGCTGTGCTATAGTTATTGTTGCGGCTTGTGGTGGTCACATTAGATACTGAAGTCAAGAATCTGAATGGACTGCAAACGTTCACGTAATGTCTTAAAATTGTGCTTAGTTACTCAATGATGTGTCAAGATATTGCACACAAAAAATGCTTTTGATCTGCTTATTATGTCCATTTCTGTAATGATTTTATTACAGTGCCTATCTAATTTTGAATTCGTACTGACGTTGAGTATATTTAGTTCAGGGCGAACTGTATTTCTTACTTTTAATTTGCCCCATATTTCCTGGCACATTGATAAAGAAACTCCACAAACAATAAAAACATGGCTGGACTCCACAAGAAACAGACTCATCAACTTAATAATTTGGAGTGTTTTATGTATTCTCTGTACATGTACAGCCTGATTATGTACAGATCACATTTACGTAATACATCATTGTTTTGTACAAGTTTTACAACAACACCACCCAGGCCACCAACATCAGACAGTAGCTAACCCAGTGTTCATCATGATAATACACATTGTCTATCATCACAAATGCTAACAATGACAAAATTTGTATTCTTCTGTACAATTATGAACTGCTCAGCTCAGCTTGATTTATTATGATTTACAGACTCAGTTTTCTGTAAAAACTAAATTCATCATAAAAGAAAAACTACACATAGAAATTGTACAAAAGGACCTTCGTGATGACATCAGGTGTTTGCAGAAAGTTTAAGCAAGCACCTGCAACTCACATGTATTTGATAAAAAAATTTTTAGCATTTTGTTACTGTCCACTTCCTTGCAATACTCCTGGATCTGGACATCTGGACCAGCCAATCAAGTGATCTGTGTCATTGATGAGTGATGCCACGCTGTCAGCTAGGTAACCAAGTATGACCATCTGACCTACTAGAGAGCCACTCCCTGTGAAGGTCGCACGCTATCTTTGAAGGTCTCCGTTTCTAACACCTCACAGCATGTGAGAGGGGCATGTGATGTAGTCAGGACAGTGTTCCCCTTGGTGAAAAGGAGGAAAACAAATATGAAGCTGACAATCCAAGTATCACAATAAGCAGGACATCAGGTCGCGGTCATTACAAAGGGACACAACTCTACACAGTAAATTCGAGCACATTATGGGCTCAAATAGACATCCCCCAGAGTCTTCCCTATATCCAAATACTTGGACACCTGGTTGTAAAGTGATTGTAATCTAAAACAGACTACAGCTGTTCATTATGATGCCATGAAGGATCATGAACCCGAACTTGGGATGTTAACCTGTAACAATAATTGCACAGAGCCTGTCTTGTTTTTGACTTTCTCTTCATTTTGATCTCTAGATGGCATTCTCAGAATGGGTTCAGTTTGACAGTCTCTATCTTCTCCTGTAGAGACTCAATAAAGTGCTTCCCTGTAATGATCTTGGTTGTTGCAATCAAGTAGTCTGTGCCGCCTGGAGAACAGAAAACAGAAACATCAAGACAAATTCATATCATCTTACTGCTGTCTTACCAATGGCAGGACACAGGTTCGCTTTTCAGACATTTTCAGGAAATATACGGGAGTATCACGTTCTACATGATACTGAATAAATGTGAACGCTGAACCTCTGCTTTATTTCACATAGTGACAGAAACGGATTCAATGATGGTTCTAAATCTGAGTGTATTAGCGATTCGGAGTCAGGATCAACAAATCCTGGGACAATAAGGAAAGTAACTTTGCACAGGAAAAACGCTGGGCCAATAGTGCTATATCACTAACTACATGATCACCTGTGCAACTTCACAAAGTAAACTAGCTACAGAAGATTGTAGATATGTACCCTGGGAACATTGGGATAATCTGAAATCTACCTTGGACCCTATTAAGTGTACCTGCACAGCAACAGGATCTACATCAGGCTTTGTTTGTACGCCGTGTATATTACATTTCTCGTCAATACAACAGTACATCTGAAAAGTATACTTAACTGAATGTAAGGTGACAAGTGAATAGTTTAATGGTATGAGTTATCTTAAGGATATATATATAAAATGCCAACAGGGTGTTCATGGAATTATCTATGAGGATTATATCTGAAAAAAAAAGAATATTTCTGACGCAGTTACTTTGAAAACTCGGTGCAAGTGGGTGAAGTTGGCTGGGTTTGTTTCAGTGAGAAAAGTGCATGAAACAGACTGGTGAGGTTTCTTTAGTTACACATCCATAGAGCCACATCTATTTGGCATTTTGTATTCCATTAAAGTCAAAATCATATTTATTAATTGTTTCAGTTACATTGTCTATCCTTTGTCATTTTATACATACATGCTCTGTTAGTTACTTTTCTTGACTATGGGTACAATGTATGAAACTAATTTCTGGTGTCCCCTGCCATGACATTGATGGAATATTGCTAAAAGTGGCATAAAACTGTACTCACTCACTCACTCACTCACACACTCAGTATACTTGGCTACCTGGTGTTTTCAGGAAAATGTCATACATTAGCAGCATTATCAGGTGGCATAATTGTTCTCTGGGTTCAAACAGGAAATATATTAGAAACTTGATTGTGCAAGTGATGGGAAAGCCTGGTAGTCTCAATACTGGAAAATGTACAAAATATGTAAGTGGACAGAGCAAGGAACAAGCTTCTCTCCAGGAGGGATTGTCCTGAAGACATGTGAAGCCTGGACTAGCTGAGTGGTGGGCAGGGTGGATCAGACTAGCTGAGTGGTAGGCAGGGTGGATCAGACTAGCTGAGTGGTGGGCAGGGTGGATCAGACTAGCTGAGTGGTGGGCAGGGTGGATCAGACTAGCTGAGTGGTGGGCAGGGTGGATCAGACTAGCTGAGTGGTAGGCAGGGTGGATCAGACTAGCTGAGTGGTGGGCAGGGTGGATCAGACTAGCTGAGTGGTGGGCAGGGTGGATCAGACTAGCTGAGTGGTGGGCAGGGTGGATCAAACTAGCTGAGTGGTGGGCAGGGTGGATCAGACTAGCTGAGTGGTGGGCAGGGTGGATCAGACTAGCTGAGTGGTGGGCAGGGTGGATCAGACTAGCTGAGTGGTAGGCAGGGTGGATCAGACTAGCTGAGTAGTGGGCAGGGGTGGATCAGACTAGCTGAGTGGTAGGCAGGGTGGATCAGACTAGCTGAGTGGTAGGCAGGGTGGATCAGACTAGCTGAGTGGTAGGCAGGGTGGATCAGACTAGCTGAGTGGTGGGCAGGGTGGATCAGACTAGCTGAGTGGTGGGCAGGGGTGGATCAGACTAGCTGAGTGGTGGGCAGGGTGGATCAGACTAGCTGGTAGGCAGGGTGGATCAGACTAGCTGGTAGGCAGGGTGGATCAGACTAGCTGAGTGGTGGGCAGGGTGGATCAGACTAGCTGAGTGGTAGGCAGGGTGGATCAGACTAGCTGAGTGGTGGGCAGGGTGGATCAGACTAGCTGAGTGGTGGGCAGGGTGGATCAGACTAGCTGAGTGGTGGGCAGGGTGGATCAGACTAGCTGAGTGGTGGGCAGGGTGGATCAGACTAGCTGAGTGGTAGGCAGGGTGGATCAGACTAGCTGAGTGGTGGGCAGGGTGGATCAGACTAGCTGAGTGGTGGGCAGGGTGGATCAGACTAGCTGAGTGGTGGGCAGGGTGGATCAGACTAGCTGAGTTGTGGGCAGGGTGGATCAGACTAGCTGAGTGGTGGGCAGGGTGGATCAGACTAGCTGAGTGGTGGGCAGGGTGGATCAGACTAGCTGAGTGGTGGGCAGGGTGGATCAGACTAGCTGAGTGGTAGGCAGGGTGGATCAGACTAGCTGAGTGGTGGGCAGGGTGGATCAGACTAGCTGAGTGGTGGGCAGGGTGGATCAGACTAGCTGAGTGGTAGGCAGGGTGGATCAGACTAGCTGAGTGGTAGGCAGGGTGGATCAGACTAGCTGAGTGGTAGGCAGGGTGGATCAGACTAGCTGAGTGGTGGGCAGGGTGGATCAGACAAGCTGAGTGGTAGGCAGGGTGGATCAGACTAGCTGAGTGGTGGGCAGGGTGGATCAAACTAGCTGAGTGGTGGGCAGGGTGGATCAGACTAGCTGAGTGGTGGGCAGGGTGGATCAGACTAGCTGAGTGGTGGGCAGGGTGGATCAGACTAGCTGAGTGGTAGGCAGGGTGGATCAGACTAGCTGAGTAGTGGGCAGGGTGGATCAGACTAGCTGAGTGGTAGGCAGGGTGGATCAGACTAGCTGAGTGGTAGGCAGGGTGGATCAGACTAGCTGAGTGGTAGGCAGGGTGGATCAGACTAGCTGAGTGGTGGGCAGGGTGGATCAGACTAGCTGAGTGGTGGGCAGGGTGGATCAGACTAGCTGAGTGGTGGGCAGGGTGGATCAGACTAGCTGGTAGGCAGGGTGGATCAGACTAGCTGGTAGGCAGGGTGGATCAGACTAGCTGAGTGGTGGGCAGGGTGGATCAGACTAGCTGAGTGGTAGGCAGGGTGGATCAGACTAGCTGAGTGGTGGGCAGGGTGGATCAGACTAGCTGAGTGGTGGGCAGGGTGGATCAGACTAGCTGAGTGGTGGGCAGGGTGGATCAGACTAGCTGAGTGGTGGGCAGGGTGGATCAGACTAGCTGAGTGGTAGGCAGGGTGGATCAGACTAGCTGAGTGGTGGGCAGGGTGGATCAGACTAGCTGAGTGGTGGGCAGGGTGGATCAGACTAGCTGAGTGGTGGGCAGGGTGGATCAGACTAGCTGAGTTGTGGGCAGGGTGGATCAGACTAGCTGAGTGGTGGGCAGGGTGGATCAGACTAGCTGAGTGGTGGGCAGGGTGGATCAGACTAGCTGAGTGGTGGGCAGGGGTGGATCAGACTAGCTGAGTGGTAGGCAGGGTGGATCAGACTAGCTGAGTGGTGGGCAGGGGTGGATCAGACTAGCTGAGTGGTGGGCAGGGTGGATCAGACTAGCTGAGTGGTAGGCAGGGTGGATCAGACTAGCTGAGTGGTAGGCAGGGTGGATCAGACTAGCTGAGTGGTAGGCAGGGTGGATCAGACTAGCTGAGTGGTGGGCAGGGTGGATCAGACAAGCTGAGTGGTAGGCAGGGTGGATCAGACTAGCTGAGTGGTAGGCAGGGTGGATCAGACTAGCTGAGTGGTGGGCAGGGTGGATCAGACTAGCTGAGTGGTGGGCAGGGTGGATCAGACTAGCTGAGTGGTGGGCAGGACGGATCAGACTAGCTGAGTGGTGGGCAGGGTGGATCAGACTAGCTGAGTGGTAGGCAGGGTGGATCAGACTAGCCCATTGCTGCATGTATGGAAGTCAATCTGTACATAGATATAGCACTACAGTTCCACTGAGCAACAATCATCTTCTTCAGTGTTCAATATTACAGAAAAAACAGTTCACCTGTTGTGACTTTCCAATCATCTTTTAATCGACTCTTACAACAAAATACTCCAACCTTTCATCTGAGGGTGTTACTCAAAGAAGCCAACTCTCCTAATGGATGCCTTTAACACGAACCCTTCTCATCCTAACGTGCATATAATGTGAGGTTCTGGTAAAACAGCAAGCCGCACTGACGGGATGGGGACACACTGATGGGAGGGGGACACACTGATGGGAGGAACACACAGGGTTATAACTGAAGGACCTACAACTAGACAGCTAGTAAGCTGGTGAGTCACTTAGATGGGACTCAAACTTCTCCACTAAAGGTGTGATGAAATTCTCTGCATTAGCGACGGCCGTTGTGGCAACAATATAATCAGTACCTACAGCATGCAAAGACAAACTTAAACAACGAGAGAAGTAAGGTTAGTCAGTAAGAAGCACAAAAAGTAACAACAAATACCTCATTTGTCTTCGATATTTCAGTCTCATCAAAATCAGACCTTTTACTACAATATAATACCTCTCTGTGTGAAGACTTGACAAGCCCTTTACAGGAATTATCAATTTGTAGCAGGGAAACTTCGCAACAGCATATAACTGTAACTTCAAAAAATGGACTTCAACAGACAGACCCAAATCGAAACAATAAAGGCCACAGTTATTTTTGTAGATATTTTTGACACACTGGGGTTTTTCAGCACCTTCCAAGGCAATTACACCCATAAGGAAGAACTATTGTGAGGAATATGTTTTCTGTGTGGATTTCCTGTTGTTAATACATAAATTTCGGAATCAAGATAGTAAAGAAATGAACCAAACTGTTTTCACAAAGCCAAGACATGACTTGTTCAATGACCCCTTTACTCTTATTCAACTCGACAATCTGATTTGGCTAATTATGAATGTTTTATGGATGTTTTATTGGGTGTTTTCAAGATCTTCAGAAAGAGAAGCCTTCTATCGGAGTCAGCATGATCCTACTGAGACTGGTACATGATGAAGCACATGTCAACCACAGCTGAATCAACTCACTGATACACTATGATTATGATCAAAACGATCCACTGTACACTAAACAACATATATCATTTGGCATCACATGATATAGTCCTTTGTTCAGAGCTGGTGGCTTTCATATATAATCAGCTGTTTCCTCCCTCATATACCAACTTATAATATTTTCATATAATTATATTTAGACAAAGTATCCCACTGATTCAGTGTTCCAGCCCTAATCCAGCCTGTTCGTCACGCGTGTTGAATACGTTACAGATGTTACAGCTCTGTACTTGACAAAAATCAAATGTGCTGCAAATCAAATTTAAAAAATGAACCTATTCTGGGATTGAATAATGCATCTTCCATTATATACATGTATTCATGATTAAAAATAATACATGTGTTCATGATTTGCTATATGTTCATGATTCAATATATACATGTGTTCATGATCCAATATAAATGTGTTCATGATGCAAATATATAATTGTGTTCATGATTCAATATATACATGTGTTCATGATTCAATATATGCATGTGTTCATATGCAATATGTACATGTGTTCATGATGCAATATACATGTGTTCATGATGCAATAATATACACATATTGTGTTCATGATGCAATATGTACATATGTTCATGATTCAATATATACACATGTTCCTGATTCAGAGTCTGAGTGTATGCATGAAGACATCTCGACATTAAGGTTGCGATTCACAGTAAACCCATGTGTACACAACTAGGAATTTTGTGTGTTTGTTGAGAGCCTTAATACTCACAACGTTTTTGAATGTGAAAGATTTTAGAGATATCAGATTCTGTTAAAACCGTGGCCTCTGAAGATCAACATTCAGCACCATGGGTATGCTGATGGGACTGGCAATGACAAGCTAAAACATGTAAGTTGAATTTAAAGCTGAGACATTTGTAACCTACCATCATCCTGCTGTGCCAGAAAGCGGAGAGCGGCGATCTCGGCAAACGTCACACCCCCTAGGAAGAATACTAGCGTCACTTTCTGCTCCCCGGAACTGGAATGCTGGGAGGAGATGGAATTCCCTGTCATGACAAAGGTGATCCATGAAATCATGTAACCAAATCAATACAGAGACAGAGGGACGGAGGTTGTTTCTGTAGTCGGCAATACCTTAGTTATATAACACACTTGCTGGCTAAGTCAGTGTAGAGATGTAGACAGTATCTCAGCACTGAGGGTAATACATACAGGATCACAAGATTCACACTCATATAACAGCAACTCCTAATGACTTTTAACCTGAACAGTTTCAACAACAGTTGCTCCTGAGAAAATGAGGTTTTACTGCACTTTCTGCAGTGCATTAGTCACATCTCAGTAGCAATCACTATCACCAGGACCAGACTCGGACCGAGATGATATCATGTAGAACAGCTGACTTTACCACCCTGACCACCCATAGATCAATGCTCATGACGTTGATCACTGGATTGTCTGGTCCAGACTTGATAGTTGTCACCTGCCCTTATTTCCCAATTGCATAGATCAATGCTCATGACGTTGATCACTGGATTGTTTGGTCCAGACTTGATAGTTGTCACCTGCCCTTATTTCCCAATTGCATAGATCAATGCTCATGATGTTGATCACTGGATTGTTTGGTCCAGACTCGATAGTTGTCACCTGCCATTATTCCCAATTGCATAGATCAATGCTCATGATGTTGATCACTGGATTGTCTGGTCCAGACTTGATTATCTTTAGTCCGCTGCCATACAGCTGGAATATTGCTGAGTGCAGTGTTAAACAACAAACCAACATCTTCCAGCCTCAACCAATTACTTCTTTTCCTGAGTGCTACAGGTATCTGTTGTATTTCCTCTACTTTGGGCCCCGGTAGAAGATTGAGGACTTCCGTGATGCTTCTCCAGCCCGGACGTGCTAGGTACTGGGCCAGGCGCACACTCAGGGGCGCGTAGCCACTGAACACGTACGAGATGTCATTAGGGAGCTGAAATATATCAGACATGTACACATTATACACAATGATATGAACTAATGTTTCAAGAAAATACAGCTGTGACATGATTTCAATATACTTCTCTACAGTAAATTATGAACTTAACGCTGAAGTTCAACCAGTGCACTAGAACAGAATAACCTTCTTTTTGAAAGTACCCACCACAGATAAGGTGAAACACTTTTAAGGCTGTCTTTACTCTCTTGCGAGTTTCACCTCGTCTGTATATTCTCATTTTATTTAATTTTGGTGGTTACCACACCTACTCCTGACATGTTATTTTGTACGACATTTAATATCGAATCTAACAGACAACATATCAGATTTGCTCTCAAGTAATTGCAAGAATTTATAACTTTTCACAATGAAGCTGAATCTTGAACTGATAAACAAGTGAATATAGATTGCACATATCTATTCCCTGGAGTGTCTACAGCATAAACCTTGTACATCATACTTCAGGACTGAAGCAAGACATGCACCTTTCAGTTACCATGGTTACAGGAAATGCTTTAGTATCAAATAGATCTGGTTTTATCATCAAAACACATCAATAATCAAACATGCTTACATATAACCTACCTGTTCATTGACATCCTCGACTATCAGCTTCAAAGACTTCCTGATAACTGTGTATGTGCGGTTGCCATGGGGACGAATTAACCCTGTTTTCTCCAGGTTCATTAAAGTCAACATGTGCTCAAACCCGTATGTCTGGTAAAGAAACAAAACTACAGAAAGACTTCGTCTGAAGCACGATATGATAGCACTCTACTGCAAGTAATTGGCCACAATTTTATCACCACAGAGCTCATTCCTGATAGTGTATTACCCATGTCACATATCAGTGAATACATTCAGTGATTATAAGGAAATGGATTCAGAATATAATGTCCTTTTCTTGAGTCATTCATGTAATGACAGTTAATTAAACGAGATGTAACTCCTTAACATTTGAACACACAAATTTGATGTTGTAGACAATAGGTGCCAATGAATGGACAGACCAGCCCTGAACTGTACAAACAACAAAGGAGCTGTTCTCCATACAAGGATTCATGTCCTCACACTTTCCTCCATACGGTGACCGGACAAAATCCACCCGGACAAAATCCACCCCAAAATTGCCACCCCGGACAAAATCCACCTCTTCTTAACAAAAAAATTGACAAAATCCACCCTTCACAAATTGCTATTGTTAAAAGTTTTAGTGTGTCCTTATCTTTGAACAAGTTCCTTTTCTCAAGCATTGTTTTGATAGCATTTACGTTTTCCTAATAGGCTGTTGTACCTAGATGTTGTTTCAAACATTAAATGTTTCTCCATTTGTCACATTTTGATCACTACTTAATCCTCTTTCATGTATCATTAAGTAGTCTCACACTTTGATCAGTACGTAATCATTCAATTATGAATGACTGATATGAATAAAATTCATCTGTGACTAAACATGTCATTAGTTTGTTTTTTTCTTAGGGTGGATTTTGTCCGGGTGGATTTTGTCCTGGATTCCCTCCATACACAGCTCCTGATAATCGAACGCTGCTCTGATATTGGTTCGTACCTGGACTATCTCCCTCTTGTAGAAGTCAAGCACTTTCGGCTTCAGTCCGTCGTTGCAGAATGACTGGACACAGATAAGCCGGAGCACCTGCAACACATTCAGTACAGTATATTACTGTAGGTCTTGTTGGTTTGACATTCAGTACAGTATATTACTGTAGGTCTTGTTGGTTTGACATTCAGCACAGTATATTACTGTAGGTCTTGTTGGTTTGACATTCAGTACAGAATATTACTGTAGGTCTTGTTGGTTTGACATTCAGTACAGTATATTACTGTAGGTCTTGTTGGTTTGACATTCAGTACAGTATATTACTTGTAGGTCTTGTTCAGTACAGTTTGAGGTCTTGTTGGTTTGACATTCACAGTATATTACTGTAGGTCTTGTTGGTTTGACATTCAGTACAGTATATTACTGTAGGTCTTGTTGGTTTGACATTCATATTACAGGTATGGTTTACATTGTAGGAATATTACTGTAGGTCTTGTTGGTTTGACATTCAGTACAGAATATTACTGTAGGTCTTGTTGGTTTGACATTCAGTACAGTATATTACTGTAGGTCTTGTTGGTTTGACATTCAGTACAGAATATTACTGTAGGTCTTGTTGGTTTGACATTCAGTACAGTATATTACTGTAGGTCTTGTTGGTTTGACAATGCTATCACTAGTAGTCCTGCTGCAAGTGTGAAGGGAGAGGGTTTAGTTTTATCAAGGTGTGAAAACAGTCTACATTTTTAAGTAACTTGTGATATATTTGGGATTACACTTTCTCAGAAAAGAAGAGTTTTCTAAAACAGAATTTGGAGGTTTCAAATATAACATCATAATTGGGTTATATTTCAGGTAACAATATTCCAGCAGAAACACAGTGGCGAACAGGCTTCACAGATGCTACCAGTCATGACTATGCCTACACTACGTTACTGATGGTGGCTCTACACCCCACTAACTCAACAGATCACAGACAACAGATCAATCACCCTGCTTGATGTTCACAGATAAAACCATATAGCTGGAATATTGCTGAGTGCGGTGTAAAACTCAACTCACTCACTCATTCACTCACAGATAAAATCTCAGTGAAATATCCAAAACAACAATACAATATCCATATCTAAGAAAATAAATAACTGTGAAATTGCAGGGGAACATTTACCTTTGTGATGACTTCCTGCTTAGCTATGGAGTCTTCTATGTAGGGGTGCACCTTGTCTGTCTCCATACCATTAATAAACTCTGTTGGAAAAAGAATTCATATACAACAATTATCTGCAGAACATACTGGCTTATTTGTTCTACAGTAGTCTACATTACGCGACATTCATCGAAACTGGAGCAACATTCCTGCTATGACAGATGCAAATGTTTGAATCTGGACCAGACAAACCACACAGGGTAGCAGCATGAGTAACGGCCACATAACAGAACATAGAAACACAAACATAAAACCATTACATTCCATTTTCCATACTGCTGCACAAGTACTATTACTTCCGCTGCAGGATGTATTTAAACAAGACGATGAGCTACTGAACATCAGTGTCGTACCCTGCTGGCAGCGGAGGGAGTCCATGAACTCGTCCTGGTCCGTCGCCTCCTTGATCAACTCAGCGATGGAGGTATCTGCAGAAACAACCACATTCTACTGAACAATATGGACTGTCCGTACTCCCTTAGATCATATGATCTATCATTTCTTTTTACCTCCTCAATAAAATTTATGTGTCTTTATGTAAAACATGAATGCCTATATATACACACTGTAAGTGAATGGCCAGTGTTGAAACAACCTTCTCTCATATCAATCTCTTTAACATCTGGATTAGTAAATCCAACTCTTTAAATACAAAAGGAAGTTATTTTGATATGAGTTATCTGCCCTTGCGCCACTGGCAGCACTGGAAACTGCTCTACAGAATTCTGTGCATATCTTTTTACTATCATTCTTAATAGCATTCAAAATGTGCCAAAACGTGGATTAAGGTGTGTGGAACTTGTATTATTATTTATCAGTCTGTTGGAGCAGTACAGTGGTTAAGAACAGTCGAGAATCTATTCCTCATTACTGTAACATGATATCACAACAATACACGACGATCAAACGTGATGAATCCGTCATTCCTCTATTGTGATACTTGACCCTAATGTTACAGAGTGACCAGTCAGGGAGAGAGAGCTACTCACGGGTGGCCTGTATTGTGATACTTGACCCTAATGTAACGGAAGTCCAATCAGGGAGAGAGAGCTACTCACGGGTGGCCAGGGACTGGCGGGCAGCCTCTATTGTGATACTTGACCCTAATGTTACAGAGTGACCAGTCATGGAGAGAGAGAGCTACTCACGGGTGGCCAGGGACTGGCGGGCTGCCTGTTTTGTGATACTTGACCCTAATGTTACAGAGTGACCAGTCATGGAGAGAGAGAGCTACTCACGGGTGGCCAGGGACTGGCGGGCGGCCTGGAGGTGGGGTAGTTTCGACACAAACTGTTTCATCTCGCCCACAGTCTTGGCACTGTGTCGTTCCTGTGACACAATAAACACATTTCAACAGAATCTGGGCCGTGAACCCTCATGTAAGTGAAGCAGGTAACGAATCCATTCTACCAGCATAGTCCAAGGCTTATGTTATGGTGGGTACTACAACTAGAGATTGCTTCACAGTCTTAAATAACATGCATTGGAAACTGGTCAAGGAATGGTTTTGTCCCTCGGATTCCTGCATAAATCAAAGAAAACATGTTTGATAATGCTTATACTACTTCACTGATTTTATCTGACAACATACTGTTTGTTTTGTAATTGATGCTTTGTACTAATTCACTTTTTGTACCCTTATTGAGTTTTACTAAAATATTGTTAAGAAATGCATAACAACACCAATCTAATAAAAGAGAGATTTATGGATGTCAACTTCCTTATTGTGAATAACACAACGTTTCGGAGTGTATGCTTGTTCCTTCATCCATCTAAATGCCCTTCAAAGATTTGATCAACCAATCTGCAGGAGAATATGTTGTGGTGTAACTTATGAGACAGAATATGTCCCGAAGGACAAGTCCACAATGACTTTATTGTACAAACATCATTCCATAATACACAAGCCCATTTTGACAGCTACTTCTGAAAGATAAGCGAGATATCTCAGCTGTGTCCTGAGCAAATTTTCATTGGCGTAAATGAAACTTGTACACTGTGTGTTAACAGGCCTTATGAATAGTTCCCACTGCTCAACCAATCAGAACATGGTATTTCAATATGTGATAACTGTATACAGTGGAATCTGTCAAATCCAGCCTCTTTGTAAACCGGTTTTCTCCATAATCTGGACTACTCTCTGAATCCAGGTAAAACTGTTCTTAATTTATCATTAAAGCTTGCTTTATAATCTGGACTCTCTCAATTATGGACTACAGAATAAAATAAGAGTCCCGACAATCAACTTGCTATGAGAACAATGCTTTGTAATCTAGACGTAGCTGACAAAAATAACAATCCATTGAATAAACATCTCCGTTACTTCTGTTCTCAGGCTGAGTTGTCCTTAACAAAGGGAGGCAACTCATCACAGTAGTGTCTATGGTAACAGAAAGTGACTAAGCCGGACTGCTTTATAATCCGGACAAATGAGTTGTCACAGGCCAGTCCATAATAGACAGATTCCACTATATTAACAAACCTGCTTCAGCATGAAAGACACATCATACTGGACAAACTGGGCTGCATTTGAGGACCTGGTTCCAGTACGCCATCATACATGAAGGTATAACCATTCCGTACTTACATCAAATTCTGCGGTGATGACTTTCGCTTTGCGGCTGACAATAGCACCAACAGCATTGAAGTTCTTGTCCCTGAGATCTGCGTACAGTTCATCACCAGAGTTCAAGATGATTTTCTTGGGTTCAGACGAGACATCTGAGGGTCCGGAGCCATCGTCCTTCTTTTGAGAGAACTTTTCTGGCGGCAGTTTGACACTTGCTACAATCAAACAACATCCACTGCAACTGTACATCATTGGTCAACCCACAGCTCAACGCCAATCTCACCTTATCAGGTCAAGCATTGTCTAATGTTCACAAATTCATTTTTCATTCAAAGCCTATCCGTGAACAATAATGACTACTGAATGGTCAACAAATTTACTTAACTGATTTAACATTAGAATGTTAAAGGAGTTCATGGATACAGCCACCTACTGTTGCTAAGGCCGAACACCTCATCAATGAGGCCTTCGTAGGTGAGCTGAGACAGGAGTGGGGTGAGAAGATCCACAGTGCGGTCTAAGATGAGCAAGTTGTCTATCTGGGGTGTTATCTGCGGCTCACGGCCACTCAGCTCCCCCTTCATTCGTCGCATCATGTCCACTACATTCTGGAAAACAAATATACACTGTTCAGTGTCATATTCTCCTTAATAAGGAAGTCAACAGATCTTCAGCAACCCATGCTTGTCATAAGGAGTGATGAGCAGGATCGGGTGCTCAGGCTCGCTGACTTGGTTGACACATGTCATCGTATCACCTGTTTGTCTGGTCCAAGTCAACTATTCACAGATCACCGCCATATAGCTGGAATATTGCTGAGTGCAGCGTTAAACAACAACTAACCATCCAACATTTAAACAGGGCTAATACGATATGAAACTTGTCTAAACTCATTGGTGAAAGTCAGTGTTCTGTACATGTATGAGACTCGAACAAATTTAACGTGGTATTTCCGTGAACAGACATCTACATACCTTCGCACAGTCACCCTTGCCATGGATGTATGGAATTGTCCCGTACAATGCCTGCAACGTCATGAGTGACTGTGCTGCATAGTACATGGAGGTGAAGTCATTGTCAAGGTAACAATCCTGGAACAGTGAAAAAGGTTTGCATCGTAAAGTCCTGAAACTGAGCTAATAGAAGTAAACATCTGTCGAAACCAATTGCTTCCCATGATTGTTAGGAAGACTGTCAAGAACTTACAGATGCTGACAAACATGATTACAGTATTCCTACATAGAGCAGGACAGCACAGCCATGCCCACCAGTGCACACTTCTTTCCCCACTACAAACTGTCAAGTAATCCCTATTACAGATGAGAGAATTCACGTTTCATCACCACCATCATCATCATCATCATCATCAACATCATCATTCTCAGGACTTTGGGTGACTGTGATACATATTCTTGATTGTCCAAATTACTCTTCAAGGACAGAGGCTGACAAGGAATGAAAAACCATATCCTCCATACTCCCAGGGCCTTCAAGGTTCTTTATAACCTTGCATTTTTCCAACTGTTTCAACCCATTCTCAGGGAAGCAGTGTTTGAATCTGGCAGTGATTATGTAATTTGACACAGCCACCTTCTCCCGTGAGCCTCCTGTTCTGGTTCGTCATGGTCTGACTGTTGTTCTTCTCATCTGCCCAGATTGACACATCTTTGATGCTACTCTCTGCTGATTGGCTGCGGAATTTGTGGGCGTGTCAAGTTATGTGCATATCACCTGATTCATGTCATACCAGTGTGTATTCAAATAAGTATTCGAATCCCGGATGGGACTCAACCCAAAAAGTACTAGAATCTGTACTTTACTGAAAAAGTGCAATCCCAAATGTAACATATGTTACATTTGACCACCTTCTAAAATGGCATTGTGTATTTTTACAGTGTGTAAGCCTTATCCTGGAAACTTGTCAATTTTTGTATGCTTTCATTAATAGCATTGTTGTTTGATAATCTATTGTGGATACCACAGTTTTCATTTTTGAATTTAATTATAAGGATTGACTGTGCATTTTATATTGTCATTGATGTATGAATGACAAAAATGAAGTGCTAACTGTGTGAATCAGCGTAGAATTGACAGCCACTACATATGTTATTGGAGTATGAACCTTCAGAGACTGACAAAGACTGTGTGACATTAGCCCAGGGTGTTCCCAGGACAGTGGGCAGTGTTGACTGGGGGTGAAACGATGCATCAGTGGCACATCTTATCAAGACCTTGCTATATCCTTTCACACCAAGGTGCCGTTGTACAAAGCGATCTTAGCGCTAAGGTGACCGTAACTCCCATACCTTAACATGGATTTAAGGTAGCCTTAGTGCTAAGGTGACCGTAACTCCCATACATTAACATGGACTTAAGGTAGCCTTAGCGCTAAGGTGACCGTAACTCCCATACCTTAACATGGACTTAAGGTAGCCTTAGCGCTAAGGTGACCGTAACTCCCATACCTTAACATGGACTTAAGGTAGCCTTATCGCTAAGGTTGTTTTGTACAACGCCACCCAAGTATTTACCTCATTTCAAGAACAATGTCTTATAATTAATGAATAAAGGCAAAATGAATCACTCCAGAGCTATTCCTCAATTAAACAGCTGTAAATACATCCGTTGAGAGGAAGGTTGCCTACCCTAAATGTGTTGTCCATCTCCATTGACAGCAGGTCGTAGTCAAAGGGTATCAGCTCCAGGTTAAACTCCTCCACACTGGTGAAGGACCCGTACACTCCGATCTCCTGCAACAAACAAGACATGCACTGTCACATGCCCTAGACCCATGCACTGCCATAGCTATTTCTGAGCCAGTCGTCTGACTCTATCCACAAAACAGCCTACCATAACCCTCATGTCCAAGACTGACTGACTGAGTTTGGTTTTACGCCGCTTTTAGCAATATTCCAGCAACATCACGGCGGGGGACACCAGAAATGGGCTTCACTCATTGTGCCCATGTGGGGATTCGAACCCAGGTCTTCGGCGTCACGAGCCAATGCTTTAACCATTAGGCTACCCCACCTCCCCTTCATGTCCAAGAAGAATGGTACAAACTATATAATTTTGATAAGAGAATCAGTAAATTTAATTGTTTTTATTGTGCAGACAGCTGAGAAGGGAATTTGAATAGGGTTTTAATTGACCTGCAAGTCTATGCGTCAAGAATACCCACAATTACAAATTCATAAGGTTCCCAGGAAATGCGAGGGTAATGCAATAACATGGTGTGGTTTTACTGTACTATAACATTTAATCATTACTTCAGTTAAATGAACTGTATACATATTTCTTGTCAAGTATTTGGTACAATGAATATTATACCCTTGGGACACAATATCTTTTTCTGTGTACATTATACATGTATATTCATATCTGATGCATGTTTAGGCATCATGTAAAACACTGGGGCACTTTAAGCATACCACCAACGTGTACAAGTCATGACAACCTGTTATTGATATTTACATACACAATATTACAGTATCAGAGACAAAACTAAGTGATCACAGTGACACTTCGAAATTGTCATCTACAGTGTATCACTTGCAAGGTGAAACATTCCCAAGGGAAGTAGCTGTACCTTTAATTTCTTCTCACACAAGAGGCTCTTTCGAGGGACAAACACCAGGTAATATTCTTTTCTGAAGCCACCTTGTTGTTCTTCTCTGTAAAAGCAAGTATAAACAGGTTTATGGGGGATTTTTAAAAAATCTGACAGTCATATGGCTAAAATACATTTTTAAATGGACAATGTTATGTTAATTTACAGACCTGAACAGCTTTTCCAGGTTAGATATATTAAAACATTACATTTTGTGGAACATATTGAAACTTTGAATTGTACATTTGTGATATGCATTTATTGTGATTTTAATGTACTGGTACTGTTTTAGTTAATCAAAGCAATAAACATGCTGAACACGGGATAAGAAGTTGGTATACTCATGGAAACGAATCAGGGAACACATGAAAGTCAGGGGTGGAAATAACCCATTGTCCCACATCCGAGTCCAGTGTTTTTTTCTGTCGGGCAAGCACATTTGTATATCACGCTGTAAATGTCAAGGTCATCTATGGCCGACAAGTGAGTATGATTGCCGATGGTTTTGGAGAAAATGCCTACTTACTGTCGAGGAAATGATTTGTAGATGTTGCAATAAGTTTTTAGACCCGTGGAATGCCGCTGGCGATCGAATCTAGCCCTACATAGGTGCTGTCAATGTGGCTGGAATTAATAAACGAATTTAAAAGGTGTGTTTCCCTGTCTTGGGTGATCCATGATTTTGGCTTGGAATTGCGGAGGTTGCTGTTTTCATTGAGTCATGGCATATAACTTTTGAAATAATGATCCGATTGTGACCATTTAAAGCTCATTTTGTAGGGAAATCATCTCCTTTTTGACCCATAGGCCTCGACAGGGCCTTAAAAATAGTTTACGTGGTGAAATCTAACTTAGATTGAGGAGGGGCGGTTCCGTCGTTACATCCCTTTCCTTTATATAGTACTAGGGTAGGGTCTATATACCTATATGTCTTTCTAACGCTGTTTCTATGTGTGACACGCCCCTGTGAAATTAATCATGTTGTTTATTCAAATAATCACGAAGAAAAAAATCAGCCAATATAGTGGAAATATTATCAGAGCAAGTGTATTTACATGTGCCACTGTACAGGAGTACACTAGCAATTTTGAAGTTATTTCCACCCATGGAAAGTACAAGTGTTCCTTTATTTGTTTCCATAATTTCACCCACAGTGCTATACATACCTTGTGAAGACACCTGGAAAAGAATAAAGGAACACTTGTACTTTCATGTGTTCCCTTAATCATTTCCATGAGTATACATGACTGACAAAAACTATCTTGTGAACACCACGCCTACACACAATATTTCAAGCTGTGCATGGAACACAACACAATATGGCATTGAGTCACAAATTTACAGCAACACACCTCCCATAACAAACCCCAACAGATATTCCTCTAAAGGAAAAAACTATACTGACTGCAGAATATTTTGTGAGATCATCTCCATTAAATGCAGTTTTGGTCTGGTGATAAACAGCACATTCTGCACATTGTTCTTTGGAAGGCCTGTCGACCGGAGCGGGAACATCTTTTCCACCTCATGTTCCTTGAGAAATCAACAAAACCTTAATAAACGATCAATCATATACCATACACAAATGATTTTTGAATTGAAAGAAAAATATCACACTGTTTGCTCAAAATATAAACATTAATTCATGACATAAAATAGAAATGGTGTATTGACAAATATGAAAACAATGTTTAAAAAGTGTGTGAATATATACAGCCTCTTTACCTTCAGAAGTGAGTATTCTGCTATTAGTCCAAATGGTCCTGTCAGTGCATCGTCCCACACAAGTGCCTGCAATAGACGGTGATAGTGTGAGTATTGAAAAAGATAGTATACAATGAAAGAGGACATCTATTGATATCAGCTTCTGTGATAAGAAAATCTGGCTAATTCCAAAATCATTTGAATATGATATGCATTCCTCATATCACAGATGTTGACTGCCATAAATATCCCCTTAAGTGTATCTCTTTTAAATGCTATCCAAATATTTTACTATAGAATTGTTTCCTTATCAACGGAACCATGGGAACCAGTGGTTACGGCCTGTGGATAACCTACATTAAACCTTACAAACTAGACCTGATCGAGAAGACATGAGACATCAGTTTTAAGAGATACTAATGAAGTTTCTAGTGAGATATATCTATTTCAATCTAAAACTATTTATTTTCTGGCCTACTGATTCTATAAACGCACCCTTCTCTGTTAACCTGAAATTTAGAAGAGGGCGACTTTACAGGTAAATGAAAATAACTTGTGACATGATCTAGACATCAGTTAATGCCTCACGTTGAACACGTTATCGGAATACTATCGTCCGATTCCATTGCAGCAATGCTAACAGATCAGCAGTTTAGTTCTAACGATAAGTGGGCGGATGTGGCAGCAGACGAACTTTTCTATTTCCTGTTCTGTGAGTTCAAGATTATGCGCTGCGCCATAACACAAAGGATGTGACACACACAACTTAAGATACATCACACAATACCTTTGTTCCTAAGCATTTGTCTAAGCATTCTAGGAATTCACGCCGATAGAAATCTCGTAACAGACTTAAATTGATTTTCCCAGAGCTCAAGTGAGCTCCACCGGCAGACATTTTGCAGATGCTCTCGGGGATCTGTTAGTAAATTCCAAATCGATGAATGACAGTGTCTCAAATATCTAAAAGAACATGCTATTGTCTTGGTATTCAGCTCATATGCTATTACCTCAAAATTCGGTTTGATCATGTTTTAAAACTGTTAAAGGAAAATATTATTTCTTTTCTTTAGAACTTTTTCAACAATGCACGCTCCCTTGCAGGAATAGCTTCTGCTGAAGTAAAATATCGAGTAAAGAAGACACAGTGCTGATTCCAAGCGAAAAATAAAAATATGTTTTAATTTATTACAGCTAACAAAAATATGAGTGAACAAAATAAATTTAGTTATAATTATGCAAACTTTTTCAGTGCAGACATGCACATGATAACTTCCGCCCAAGGATACACAATTTTCTCATTAATCAATAACAAGATATATATTGTAACATAGGAGAAGCAAATTTTAAGCCTGCTGCATGTCTTGTGCATATCTGTCGTGAATATTTTCGATCGATTCTGGCAAACATATCCGAAATAAGCTTTAATATGTGAACTCCTTTTATCAGCGTCACATGGTACTGTGGGTAGTTGTTCGGCCAAAACGTGCGGAGGAGGAAATGTCAAAATGAAGTGGTGTCGGTGTATTCGGTGATCGGGGAAAGGAGTGTTTTATTTGTTTATTCGGGATTATCATTTGATCATATCAAACACCTATCTCCTGACAGTCATAATGTCGACCCCGGACCCCGAGACAAGACAAAGTCTGCTTCGTGCAGTCAAAAAAGAGGTAAGCTTCTCTGACAAACCTATAATCATAATTATTGTGTTCATAATTTATTATCATTAATTCCTGCGAGTTTGTAAATGCCACATTTTCATGTTTTTCTATGTTTATTGATAAATGTCACACTTGCATATGATCAAATGCCAACAGTTCAAATGATATTTAGCTGCTCTACTGAGATAAAGACTCCATGTACATTAGTTGTTGCACAATTGTCAATAAATTTCAGACCGATAAGAATGCGGTCTGCTTAACAAGTTGTTTGTGTGTTTTCCTTCATTTGCCAGTAAAAGCCAGGGACCTTGGCTTATCATATCAGTCTCTGACTTTTACTGTCACTTATACACATATATCTTGAATTATTGATTGATTTCATTGTAGTTCCATTTTCGGGTGATTATTGATTTTTTGCCATTCTCTGAACATACTGAAAATGAACTGCTTAAGTAAGGACCTAACTGAACGCTGAATGATTAAATCAGTGCCAAGAAGCTAAAGAATTTCATGAAGATATAAATTCATCCAAAATGCTTTCTTTTAATAATGTGAACCCAGATTATTCTTCGTATTAAGATAAATTTAAGGTAGGTATGTTGACATAATCAAAGTAGTAGATGTTCCAGTTGCAGAGTGCTTATTGACAGTAGGGACTGGTATTGCAGAGAATTTTCATATTGCGATATATTGCGATACGAAAGCATATATTGCGATATGTATTTCAATATATTCCTAGAATTTCTTTTTTTTACCATAAACTACTTATAATTGTGTTAACGCTTTATTTATAAAGCAAAACCACAACAAAATCACTATGCTTGATTAAGCTGTAATAAACACTTTTAATCATGACAAAATAAAAACATAAATAATATTTGGTGCAAATGAAACAAGGAAAAGAATAATCTAACATCAACAGAGTGGTTACTAGTTTGAACTACTTTCTCCACTCTCAAAGCCCTGAGATCTTAGACAGCAACTTGACCTGGTCAGGACATATCAGGGATCATTGGTCATTAATGAGTAAATATTTAAAACAATCTGAATCAAAACATTGCAAAACACTTAACAAAAATTAAGAACACAACTTCAAACCAAACTTAACAATAAAGTTAAATGTAAAATCTTTGAAGGGCATGTAGAAGTGGAATGCATACGACAAGCAAGATATATGTATGTCAACTTCATTCACAATAAAGAAGTTGACATCCATAATTCTTGCTTTTCTCAGTTAGATGTAATTTCAACCACGATCATTTCCACCACCATTACCACAGTTGCCACAATCATCAAGGTTTCCGAGTGTTACAAAGTTGTCCGAATGTAACTCAAAATACCGGTTTTCGTTCACCATGTTCAATAAAAAAAATGAGGTTATATTAATGTCAAAGTAGTTTAAACCTAAGCATGTGTCTCTGTAGTCCTGGATTTATGTCCTGTAATATCTGTTTGCATGATGAATTAATCATAGCAGCAATCATGGCAACTTTTCATTAACACCACTGTGCCCTCAACCCCTCACACGCATACACGACCCTCTCAGATCACTGTTTTTGCATTTGTTTGTCATGTCATTAAGAAATTTTTACTTTAATAAAAATAATAATCATATTGTAAATCTGTAGGTGTTGATGGGAAAATACCTGTGATAGAAATTTAAGAAACCTGTGAAATGTTACTTCCTTCAATAACAGAATATATCTCATTCTGGACAGGGGCACTGTTTTCATAGATTCATGGAATATTCGGCTGATTCTACCCATACACAAAGGTGATGAAGATCATTGGAGTATCAATGTTGGGATGACAGTTTGAAATACTCAGCATACTGCTTCAATAATTGACAATTGTAAAACATCTCAGATGTCAACCAACCAATCAGAATGTCGCACACGGTTTAAAATGGGTACTCTATTTACTATATAGATAAGTCATTTATGTAAAAAAAAAATGCCAGTTGTGTTCTCATTCAAACTGTTTGATGGAAACATCCAACCATTCCTGTTATTTGGAATAGAACTGAGGTGAAAGAAAAAATATAGCAAATGAAAGATTCAGACTAAAGTGTGCAAATATCTGCTTCACACAACTTACGAAACTGGTGACAAACGTGGTCACCTTCACAGTTCCATTGTTGAAAATGCTATCATTTTGCATGATGTTTGTCTGACAACTAGTAACCGTGGCAACAAGAAGTGGTTATAATATCCTCAAAAGAGTCAACATTGCAAGGGTTATAAGCTCAGTTTCTTCTGTCAGAATACCACAACTGGGTTTGGTGCTTGTCTGGCTTGCACAGGATGGAGGTGACAGAAAAATCTTTCTGAATAATTTCGCACGCTGCTGTAAATACATTTATCAGCAAGAATGGTTAATGAGTGGACAAGAATCAAAGTTGCTACATTATTATTATGTATCAGTTGTTATATTTGTTATTTCCCTTTCTTAGTACAAATTCTAGTACTTTTCGAGGTTAATCTCATTCAGGATTCAAACCCACACTCCTAGATTGAGACAACAATACTCTCTATCACACAAAAACGGCAATCTAACCCACATTATTTGTTTTCACTGTTGACAAGTGTAAATTGGCACGTCTCTCATGCCCAATAACTATGAATACACAATGCTGTTTAGACATTGGTGGATTACAATTTGATTGGTAAGATCAGTTTGTGTGCTGGCAGTTTTCTATCTTACTCCGAGTGTGGGGATTGGACTCAATATTTTGGATACTGTGTCTAGTGATCTACATACCAAACTGTTTTATGATTTATTTTAGGTGAAGCAGATCATGGAAGAAGCAGTCACACGAAAGTTTGTGCATGAAGAGAGCAGCAGTATTACCTCCCTTTGTGGTACGTGTGACTTAGATATTCACAAACCAGATTTCAGACCTTGAATTTCTTGAAGAATTTGTGTTCAGCTGACCATGCTTGTCATGAGAGGTGTCTGCATGTATCAGTTAGCAAAACTTGGGGACTTGATTCATGCGAACCCAAACATCAAGGTGTTCTTATTTCAGAAACTGGAAGTGAAACTTTTCCTGTCAAGAGATTGTACATTCAGTTGTTTTTACACATTTCCATTGTGACTAATTTTTACTCATTAGCGAATTTGATATATTCTGAGTAGTGGTGTGATGATTCATCGATACATCAATCCATGGGTTGCCGAATTGATGCAAAGTTTTACATTGTCGTTTATCCCGATACGATACTTCAAATGGGCCACGATACGATGTTTTACTTTGAATGTTGCCAAATCATGATAGCTGTCAAGAAAGACGTACTTTTGTTTGATGATTAAAACAATACATACTTATTTTCCCTTCATAAGTTTCTCGGAAATTCTTGCGTCAGGAACTGTATCAAACATAGCACTCGCATTTTATCAACATTCACAAAGTCTGTGTCAATCTCATTTCTGAATGAACATTAAAAAAAACGCTGGTGGAATTTGACGAAATACTTTAAATGGTTTTGTTCTGATTTTAAGGTGTTTCATAGTTGGTGTTAGAATTATAGATTAATGATTCGTATCGTATGGCAGCTTCAGTGCACGATACTTTGGCAATATATAATGTGACTAAACTTGTAGTATCGTGATGAATCGTATCGCAGGTTGTATGCCAATACTTGTAGTATCGTGATGAATCGTATCGCAGGTTGTATGCCAATACTTGTAGTATCGTGATGAATCGTATCGCAGGTTGTATGCCAATACTTGTAGTATCGTGAGGAATCGTATCGAGGGTTGTATGCCAATACTTGTAGTATCGTGAGGAATCGTGATCATAGGGTTGTATGCCAATACTTGTAGTATCGCGTGAGGAATCGATATCGCAGGTTGTATGCCAATACTTGTAGTATCGTGATGAATCGTATCGCAGGTTGTATGCCAATACTTGTAGTATCGTGAGGAATCGTATCGCAGGTTGTATGCCAATACTTGTAGTATCGTGAGGAATCGTATCGCAGGTTGTATGCCAATACTTGTAGTATCGTGAGGAATCGTATCGCAGGTTGTATGCCAATACTTGTAGTATCGTGAGGAATCGTATCGCAGGTTGTATGCCAATACTTGTAGTATCGTGAGGAATCGTGATCGCGGGTTGTATGCCAATACTTGTAGTATCGTGAGGAATCGATCGCGAGGTTGTTTGCCAATACTTGTAGTATCGTGAGGAATCGTGATCGCAGGTTGTATGCCAATACTTGTAGTATCGTGATGAATCGTATCGCAGGTTGTATGCCAATACTTGTAGTATCGTGAGGAATCGTATCGCAGGTTGTTTGCCAATACTTGTAGTATCGTGAGGAATCGTATCGCAGGTTGTATGCCAATACTTGTAGTATCGTGATGAATCGTATCGCAGGTTGTATGCCAATACTTGTAGTATCGTGAGGAATCGTTATCGCGAGGTTGTTTGCCAATACTTGTAGTATCGTGATGAATCAGATCGCAGGGTTGTATGCCAATACTTGTAGTATCGTGATGAATCGTGATCGCAGGTTGTATGCCAATACTTGTAGTATCGTGATGAATCGTGATCGCAGGTTGTATGCCAATACTTGTAGTATCGTGATGAATCGTGATCGCAGGGTTGTATGCCAATACTTGTAGTATCGTGATGAATCGTATCGCAGGTTGTATGCCAATACTTGTAGTATCGTGATGAATCGTATCGCAGGTTGTATGCCAATACTTGTAGTATCGTGATGAATCGTATCGCAGGTTGTATGCCAATACTTGTAGTATCGTGATGAATCGTATCGCAGGTTGTATGCCAATACTTGTAGTATCGTGATGAATCGTATCGCAGGTTGTATGCCAATACTTGTAGTATCGTGATGAATCGTATCGCAGGTTGTATGCCAATACTTGTAGTATCGTGATGAATCGTATCGCAGGTTGTATGCCAATACTTGTAGTATCGTGATGAATCGTATCGCAGGTTGTATGCCAATACTTGTAGTATCGTGATGAATCGTATCGCAGGTTGTATGCCAATACTTGTAGTATCGTGAGGAATCGTATCGCAGGTTGTATGCCAATACTTGTAGTATCGTGAGGAATCGTATCGCAGGTTGTATGCCAATACTTGTAGTATCGTGAGGAATCGTATCGCAGGTTGTATGCCAATACTTGTAGTATCGTGAGGAATCGTATCGCAGGTTGTATGCCAATACTTGTAGTATCGTGATGAATCGTATCGCAGGTTGTATGCCAATACTTGTAGTATCGTGATGAATCGTATCGCAGGTTGTATGCCAATACCAAGGCTAATTCTGAGTTGTCATGAGTTCATGACTGAGCAAAAAATCAACCCAGTTTAGAAATAAACCCAACCCAAATGTCCACCAAATTGAGTGCAATTGTGCAGTGGTAAGGCGTCTGCCTATCACGCTGAAGGCACGCGTTAGATCCCCGGTGGAGGCACCTAGGTTCTGGTCCCGAGGTGGGCACATTTGCTAAGTTTCCTTAGACAAGATACTTATATCCACATTGTCTAATTTCTCAGCTGTAAAATCTGTACCCGTGAGGATGTGCTGGCAATGTGAGTGTTTAGTTTCATTGTGCCTACCAGGCAGCATGGCTGTATGATCCCCAGGGAGTTGAAAAAATATCAAAAGTAATATAGTGTCCTATGGCAGGGGATAGTAGTGTCTGTAGCACTGCAGTGTGACTGGATATGAGGGCCATATAAGCGGACTATTACTATTACTAATTCTTACCATCTAATGTCCTCCAATTTACATGTTTACCCAAGATAATGTGCTCTAAGGTATCCAAAATATTCTTAAAGTTAACCAACCTAAGATTTCTCTCTAAGATAACCAACCTAACAGTACACGAGATCATCTTTACCCAAATGTCCACTAAGTTTTCCCCACAAAAATGTATATCAAGTTAACACATTGTAGAACAAGTGAACCGTAACCCAAAAGTCCATCGAGGGGACCTATGCTAGTAGTCACCAAAGTAACTTACCCAACTGTCCCCAAAATTTACCGCCCCATATGCCCATCAAGAAATATCGACCAAGTTAGCCATTCCAAATGACCTCCCTGATAACCCAGCTAAAATGTCCTAAAAGTTTCTTCAACCTACATGTCCTCCAATTCAACTCAGGTAAATCTTACACAGCTCTTGCCATGTCAAACACACTCCAGTAACCATGGTAACACAAGCATCTGCTTAGTTAACCCACCCAAATGTCCACCACGTTAAACATGTTAGCATGATAGGAGATATATCGGTCAAGTTGAACCAACAAATGTTTGATTGGAGCCCAGATCTAATGGTACTTTAGTATGTTGATGTCAACTTGTGGTTGATAGCGCTGATGCTAGTCAGTAAAGCTTGTCGACTGACCTTGTTCGTAGGCATTACTTATCAGCTGACAGATCACACAATAAACACAATATATTCAGGGATCGATTTAGTGCTTTGTTACTTGCACTGGTGCAACCCAACATTACAAAGTGCACCCTAGTTATCGGTCTAACTTGCACCGGTGCAACCCCAATATTACAAAATGCAACCTATTTATTGGTCTAACTTTGCACCGGTGCAACCCAATATCACAAAATGCAGCCTATTTATTGGTCTAACTTGCACTGGTGCAACCCAATTTTACAAAGTGCAACCTAGTTATCAGTCTAACTTGCACCGGTGCAACCCCAATATTACAAAATGCAACCTATTTATTGGTCTAACTTTGCACCGGTGCAACTCAATATCACAAAATGCAACCTATTTATTGGTCTAACTTTGCACCGGTGCAACTCAATATCACAAAGTGCAACCTATTTATTGGTCTAACTTGCACTGGTGCAACCCAATATAACAAAGTGCAACCTATTTATTGGTCTAACTTGCACTGGTGCAACCCAATATCACAAAGTGCAACCTATTTATTGGTCTAACTTGCACTGGTGTAACTCAATATCACAAAGTGCAACCTATTTATCAGTCTAACTTGCACCAGGTGCAGGTCAATTTTTGAGTGGGTAAATTCTGAATAAAACATCTAAATAATTCAATAGCATATTGCTCTCATTACATATTGCAATAAAAGCAGTGCAAATGGAATTTGGCTCGTGCAACTAGGTTTTTATCTTGGGTTGCACCTGGTGCAAGTAGGTTAACATCTCTTAAATCGAACCCTGATAATAGTGATATTGATAACAACCTCTTGAATGTATTCAATTGTGTCCACTTTGCAGAGTGACCTGAAAGAAGAAGGTTGAAATGCTGTGTTTCTAAACACACGCCTTGTTTAGCATGTGCTGTCCAGTCTTTGAATGAGTGCCCTTCTGATTGTTACTATGGTTACCTATAAATGTGACGATTCAGGTTATGTGTGTCTGAGGGAAGTCAGTTGGTCATGCTGAAGGGGAAACTATGTAGACAAGTGTCTTACTGAAGTTAGTGTGGCGTAAAACTAAACTCACTCACTCACTACTGAAGTTAGAAGTATGTCTTACAATGATAACCTTTTGAAGCACATTTTCACCAAAATCAAACTGGCAAATTGTTGAACATTTGATTTTATCTGTATCCAGCCTAAAAAGTTTGTAAAAGTTGATTGTTATCCCCTGCCACAACTCGGGGACTATGTGTTCACTAGCCTCCATGCATACGTCCCAATTCTTGTTAAGGTGATATCTCATGAACTGTTGTACCCAATGTCTTCAAATTTGGTGACAGCCTACATATGGGGCTTACACAGACATCAGTCGATTTTGGTATCCTTGACCTTATTTTCGAGGTCACAACGACACTTTGACCACTTTTCAAACTCTTGTTAACGCGATATCTCATGAACTGTTGTACCCAATGTCTTCAAATTTGGTGACAGCCTACATTGGGGGATTACACAGACACCAGTCGATTTTGGTAACCTTGACCTTATTTTCGAGGTCACTACGACACTTTGACCACTTTTCAAACTCTTGTTGAAGTGATATCTCATGCACAGTTGTACCCAATGTCTTCGATGTCCACAGCCTACATTGGGTGATTCCGCAGACACCAGACATTTCAGGCATCTTGTACGTATGTGACCAAGAAAATGAATAGTAGTAAATATGTTATAAATATTTCATTCTTCTTTAGCGGCAGGGGGCATTGCCATATTAGTGGCAAACACTTGTTTTGAATATATGAAGAAACAAAAACTTATCATCGCTGCCAATCAGTTAGTGCTGAAAAGTACTGCTATTCTGTTTCCTGGTCAGTTTTACCTAGAGACGTTACCATGGTTTCCATTTTTACCTATCACATTACTAATGTTGGAAGTGTGCTAATTCCTATTATTACCTTGTACCAAATGAAGCCATTATTTCTCATGATTGTTTAAAGGATTTATGCCAGCAAATAGTTTCATTTTGTTAACTCCTTCCTTTCATTCTACCACTCGGGGCTGTGGGGTAACCTAGTGGTTAAAGCATTGGCTCGTCACGCCGAAGACCCGGGTTCAAATCCCCACATGGGTACAAAAATGTGTGAAGCCCATTTCTGGTGTCCCCCGCCATGATGTTGCTGGAATATTGCTAAAGGCGGTGTAAAACCAAACTCTGTCAGTCATTCTACCACTCCTAAATTAGCATTCCATCTGTTCTTCCATAGTTATTCTATAGTTTCGATGGAAGACTACAACAAGAGCACTCTCCTGTACTTTACATCCAGCTCAGTATATGTACGCTAGAGACAGATTTGTGTTACTCAGGGCTCCAGATAAGGGTCGTATCGGCGTATGTACGGATATAAAATAAGCACGATATGGTAGGAAATAATTTAGAAAACGTTGCAGATACGCACCACAGCAGTGGTGTACAGTCTTAGAATCCTTTACAGACGTATTTATCTGAAGATGTATTGTTTTATTGATTATTGCAATGTTGTGGTGCATATATGAAACGAAACACAATATTACTGATACTCCTTTAAATCCCATTCAGTACTCTAAATGTACTCTTAAAGTTTTCCAGTACTCCTGTATTGAAAAAATAAGGAGTACGTATTCCTGATGTTGAAAAATTATCTGGAGCCCTGGTTACTTGAAACAGAGGACCACGTTTTACATGACGACAAGAAGGAAAAAACTGACAGTACCACTAAACTAATCTGCAGGTCAGTTGTTTGAACTTTGAACTTGCAGTCGACCTTGGCTCACTGTTATGCAGGTGGTTTTATCCTTCAGATGGAGCTTCATAAGCTCAGTTTGTGTTTGAAAAGCCTATGAAATCTTCATTAGCACATCGTCATTGGCTTTGTAAACTGTAAGAGTGGTAATGAGACCGGTATATTCGACAGTTAGAGCCATGATTATTGACTTTGTGTTACAACAGACATTACATATTAGGGAATCAATAACCAGCTCTGACTGGGGGGTATTGTGTGCTCACTCGCACTGACCAGTACGGAAACTTTGTTAACGATCAATGCGATACCTTAATTAGAGGTGGTCGAAAGGTCCTTGAACTGTTGTCAGTTAAAATGTGTTAATCTTCCTTTCCCCTGAAGCAGTTTCCCCTGAAGCAGATTTAATATTTCTTATAATTGACACTGAAATTATTAACAAACATAAGATTTATACACAGCAAACAAGTGTGACATGTCAAATAAAACAACTGCAGTCAAAGTCATTGTGAAATATACAGTCAGACACTGGGGCCGGCGGGTTGTAGACTTCTGTCTCACTGTTGGCGAATCTGACGGATTTGTCAGAGGGTCAGACGCTATTCGTGAACACTGCCCTGAAGTCTTGTCTCCTATCATACGTCCACCTGTATCTCCTGTCTCGAAATGTCTGTAAATAATTACCCTTGGCTTAGAAGAACAGTTTATGTAGTATCTGAAGATTTGTAACAGTCAGAATTTTGTTTAAGGGTTAGGACTCAAATTTGAAAAGGGCTACATGCGGACATTAGCCTTAACTAAAAGTATAAAGTGGCAGACTTTCAGAATATCGCAGTTACATTGTGGTAGATTTTTATGACCTGGTACAGAGTTGTAGATAAGTTTTTTGTAATCTTGGTATTTTACCAATGGCGTCTGTTATAAGTGGGTACTACTGATCTTCAGTGGGTGCTCAAATTTTCCGATACAGACCTTTTTTTAACATGAAAATTCTATGTCAATGATTTACAAAATGTTAAGAAAGAACCTATAGCCAATTGTTTGTACTGCAGGCATTAACATGGTGGTTGTTTAAGGACAAATACATGTTATGTCTGATCAGGTTAGACATCTGAATACTAGCAAACACAATTGTAAGGGACTGACAAGCAGCATAGTCTCATTATATCTGATTGCGTATTTAAACACCTGCAGCAATATCTTACATGATAGTTGCCAGCTCTAGTAGTGTCTGCCCCCAGTGTTCCTACATGACAGTTGCCAGCTCTAGTAGTGTCTGCCCCCAGTGTTCCTACATGACAGTTGCCAGCTCTAGTAGTGTCTGCCCCCAGTGTTCCTACATGACAGTTGCCAGCTCTAGTAGTGTCTGCCCCAGTGTTCCTACATGACAGTTGCCAGCTCTAGTAGTGTCTGCCCCAATGTTCCTACATGACAGTTGCCAGTTCTAGTAGTGTCTGCCCACAGTGTTCCTACATGACAGTTGCCAGCTCTAGTAGTGTCTGCCCCCAGTGTTCCTACATGACAATTGCCAGCTCTAGTAGTGTCTGCCCCCAATGTTCCTACATGACAGTTGCCAGCTCTAGTAGTGTCTGCCCCCAGTGTTCCTACATGACAGTTGCCAGCTCTAGTATTGTCTGCCCCCAGTGTTCCTACATGACAGTTGCCAGCTCTTGTAGTGTCTGCCCCCAGTGTTCTTACATGACAGTTGCCAGCTCTAGTAGTGTCTGCCCCCAGTGTTCCTACATGACAGTTGCCAGCTCTAGTAGTGTCCTACATGACAGTTGCCAGCTCTAGTAGTGTCTGCCCACAGTCTTCCTACTTCTTCCACAGCATCGCAGTCCACCCGATCTCTTTGTTGTGTCTTTGTTAAAATGTTGTGGCGATGGGTAGCCAAGTGGTTTAAAGTGTTCACTCGCCCCACCGAAGCCCTGGTTTGATGAGCAAGATGGGTACAGTGTGTGATGCCCATTTCTGGTGTCCCCTGTCATGATATTGCTTGATAATGCTAAAAGCGGCCTAAAACTAAACTCACTCACTCAATCTGAAAAAGTGTAAAGGGTGATTTTACAGTGAAAATTTTGCTGTGGTTACCACTGGATTGACACAGAAAACAACAGTCACTCTCTCAGGTCCCATTTACTGTGATTTCCCAATTAGTATTACCGACAACGACGTGTGATGATTGTGACAGTGAAAATGCCATACATACAATCATACATTTTACACTGATCATGTTCTTTGGCCTTGACCTGTAGCCGACCCACTGTGAAGTCCGGGCTAGAACTGCGTGTTCACCAACCTGTAGGCCACCAAATGGGTTGGTCATATTTAGGAGACAGTGTGTCCTCATAATCTGAAGGTGCTCATTGATGCTCACTGTATCGATCACTAGTTTGTACGGTCCAGACTCAATCATTCCTCAGCCGCCACCACACAGCATGATTGGTGAGTGTGGCATTAAACACACATCCTCAGCTTCAGTCAGATCAAAGCACGGCAGTTAATGATAATGAGTCTGTGATCAACAGAGTGGTTCAGTGTGGACTTCATCTACAGTCTGTGTTTCAACATTATGAAATGTCACACATCCATTAGAAGGCAGAAATATAACAATTAACTCTATTCACTGTTTGCTGTAGCTTTGACCATTTTGAACAGGCATACAACTCTTGTGTGAAGTTTGGCGTATTTCGTTTAAAAGCCAGCAACGGTACAAGAATCTGTATCAAAACATGACACTCACGAAATATAAGAAGTTGTAATCAATAAAGTATGTCAATATTGTACTACCATCAACTTCCCAAATGCCAATCAAGGAAGTTAAAATGTCATCAGCTTTCATTGAATCAAGAATCAGTGTAAAACATTGAAGGTGATCGTGGTTTGTGAAGGTTTGTTGTGTGACCAATATCAGGCAGAATTGTAGCTCTTTCATTACCCTTGGGCATCAATACCAGGTAGAATCCTAGATCTTTCATCACCCTGGGGCATCAATACCAGGTAGAATCCTAGATCTTTCATCACCCTGGGACGTCAATACCAGGTAGAATCCTAGATCTTTCGTCACCCTGGGACGTCAATACCAGGTAGAATCCTAGACCTTTCATCACCCTGGGACGTCAATACCAGGTAGAATCCTAGATCTTTCGTCACCCTGGGACGTCAATACCAGGTAGAATCCTAGATCTTTCATCACCCTGGGGCATCAATACCAGGTAGAATCCTAGATCTTTCATCACCCTGGGACGTCAATACCAGGTAGAATCCTAGACCTTTCATCACCCTGGGGCATCAATACCAGGTAGAATCCTAGATCTTTCATCACCCTGGGGCATCAATACCAGGTAGAATCCTAGATCTTTCATCACCCTGGGACGTCAATACCAGGTAGAATCCTAGATCTTTCATCACCCTGGGACGTCAATACCAGGTAGAATCCTAGATCTTTCATCACCCTGGGACGACAATACCAGGTAGAATCCTAGATCTTTCATCACCCTGGGACTTCAATACCAGGTAGAATCCTAGATCCTTCATCACCCTGGGACATCAATACCAGGTAGAATCCTAGATCTTTCATCACCCTGGGACGTCAATACCAGGTAGAATCCTAGATCTTTCATCACCCTGGGGCATCAATACCAGGTAGAATCCTAGACCTTTCATCACCCTGGGACGTCAATACCAGGTAGAATCCTAGATCTTTCATCACCCTGGGGCATCAATACCAGGTAGAATCCTAGATCTTTCATCACCCTGGGACGTCAATACCAGGTAGAATCCTAGATCTTTCATCACCCTGGGACGTCAATACCAGGTAGAATCCTAGATCCTTCATCACCCTGGGACATCAATACCAGGTAGAATCCTAGATCTTTCATCACCCTGGGACGTCAATACCAGGTAGAATCCTAGATCTTTCATCACCCTGGGGCATCAATACCAGAATCCTAGAATCACCCTGGGGCATCAATACCAGGTAGAATCCTAGATCTTTCATCACCCAATGGGAATCCTAGATCAATACCAATACCAGGTAGAATCCTAGATCTTTCATCACCCTGGGACGTCAATACCAGGTAGAATCCTAGATCCTTCATCACCCCTACCAGGTAGAATCCTAGATCTTTCATCACCCTGGGACGCCAATACCAGGTAGAATCCTAGGATACCAGGTAGAATCCTAGAATCACCCTGGGACATCAATACCAGGTAGAATCCTAGATCTTTCATCACCCTGGGACGTCAATACCAGGTAGAATCCTAGATCTTTCATCACCCTGGGGCATCAATACCAGGTAGAATCCTAGATCTTTCATCACCCTGGGACGTCAATACCAGGTAGAATCCTAGATCTTTCATCACCATGGGACGTCAATACCAGGAAGAATCCTAGATCTTTCATCACCCAGGGATGTCAATACCAGGTAGAATCCTAGATCTTTCATCACCCTGGGACTTCAATGCCAGGTAGAATCCTAGATCTTTCATCACCCTGGGACTTCAATACCAGGTAGAATCCTAGATCCTTCATGACCCTGGGGCATCAATACCAGGTAGAATCCTAGATCCTTCATGACCCTGGGGCATCAATACCAGGTAGAATCCTAGATCCTTCATGACCCTGGGGCATCAATACCAGGAAGAATCCTAGATCTTTCATCACCCTGGGACACCAATGTCAGGCAGCTCTTTGTCAGATTCCCAGCATGTTGTGTCATCCTTATGACTGTCTGACCTCCTGACATATATTCATGAATGTTACTATACTTTACATAGACATTACCAATATGATTATTTTATGTATTAGCCATGTTGTATTGATATGTGATCCTTTCTGTTACCGGTTGTGATATCTGTAATATTCAGGTAATTATTTTACCACAGTTACTTTGCATGAAGAATAAGTAATTTACCAGCTTGCTCAAGAATTATGGTGACCCTGACTGTGAAAGCAATTACTTCTCTGGTGGCAAGGGCACCATGACTTTCATGCCTCTGTGCCCATAACTCCCTTCTGTGACAATACATCACAAGTTTCCCAAAACTGAATGTATAAATAATGGTGGTTGACACTGACAAGACTTGATCTTGGTCCAAGGAACAGCACATAGAAAATGGCTTGAGTGATTTCCTTACATCGGTGTGGAAGAAAAAACCTGATTCAAAACGGTGATGATAAACTGTTACCTTTGGTATCCACATGACAATGCTCATTATGGGTATTAGAGACCAATGACTTCTGTCGACATTGTCTATGTATGGTTCTTACGTAACACATCCTAGCCAGAGTTGGCCAGCAGAGTACACGTCACTATGTTCATCTGCAATAGCCTATTGTTGTTTGAGTCAAACAGCTGGGTGTGGGAAAGAGACTTACTTTATGTTGGGAATTGTCCATGTCTTCCTTCATGTTGGGAATCGTCCATGTCTTACTTCGAGTAGGGAATTGTCCATGTCTTACTTCGAGTAGGGAATTGTCCATGTTTTACTTCGAGTAGGGAATCGTCCATGTTTTACTTCGTGTAGGGAATTGTCCATGTTTTACTTCGAGTAGGGAATTGTCCATGTTTTACTTCGAGTAGGGAATTGTCAATGTCTTACTTCGAGTAGGGAATTGTCCATGTTTTACTTCGTGTAGGGAATTGTCCATGTTTTACTTCGAGTAGGGAATTGTCCATGTTTTACTCTCGAGTAGGGAATTGTCCATGTTTTACTTCGAGTAGGGAATTGTCCATGTTTTACCTCGAGTAGGGAATTGTCCATGTTTTACTTCGAGTAGGAAATTGTCCATGTTTTACTTCGAGTAGGGAAGTGTCGATGTTTTACTTCGAGTAGGGAATTGTCCATGTTTTACTCTGAGTAGGAATTGTCCATGTTTTACTTTGAGTAGGAATTGTCCATGTTTTACTGAGTAGGGAAGCATCGATGTTTTACTCTGAGTAGGGAATTGTCCATGTTTTACTGAAAGTAGGGAAGTGTCGATGTTTTACTCGAGTAGGAATTGTCCATGTTTTACTGAGTAGGGAAGTGTCGATGTTTTACTGAGTAGGAATTGTCCAAGTTTTACTCTAGTAGGAATTGTCCATGTTTTACTTTGAGTAGGGAATTGTCCATGTTTTACTTCGAGTAGGGAAGTGTCGATGTTTTACTTCGAGTAGGGAATTGTCCATGTTTTACTTCGAGTAGGGAATTGTCCATGTTTTACTTTGAGTAGGGAATTGTCCATGTTTTACTTCGAGTAGGGAAGTGTCGATGTTTTACTTCGAGTAGGGAATTGTCCATGTTTTACTTCCCTAGTAGGAAGTGTCGATGTTTTACTGAGTAGGGAAGTGTCCATGTTTTACTCGAGTAGGGAAGTGTCGATGTTTTACTTCGAGTAGGGAATTGTCCAAGTTTTACTTCGAGTAGGGAATTGTCCATGTTTTACTTTGAGTAGGGAATTGTCCATGTTTTACTTCGAGTAGGGAAGTGTCGATGTTTTACTTCGAGTAGGGAATTGTCCATGTTTTACTTCGAGTAGGGAAGTGTCGATGTTTTACTTCGAGTAGGGAATTGTCCATGTTTTACTTCGAGTAGGGAATTGTCCATGTTTTACTTCGAGTAGGGAATTGTCCATGTTTTACTTCGAGTAGGGAATTGTCCATGTTTAACTTCGTGTAGGGAATTGTCCATGTTTTACTTCGAGTAGGGAATTGTCCATGTTTTACTTCAAGTAGGAATTGTCCATGTTTTACTTGAAAGTAGGGAATTGTCCATGTCTTTACCTCGTGTAGGAATTGTCCATGTTTTACTTCGAGTAGGGAATTGTCCATGTTTTACTTCGTGTAGGGAAATGTCCATGTTTTACTTCGAGTAGGGAATTGTCCATGTTTTACTTTGTGTAGGGAATTGTCCATGTTTTACCTCGTGTAGGGAATTGTCCATGTCTTACTTCGAGTAGGGAATGGTCCATGTTTTACTTCGAGTAGGGAATTGTCCATGTCTTACTTCGAGTAGGGAATTGTCCATGTTTTACTTCGAGTAGGGAATTATCCATGTCTTACCTCATGTTGGGAATTGTCCATGTCTTACTTCGAGTAGGGAATCGTCCATGTTTTACTTCGAGTAGGGAATTGTCCATATCCTACTTCGAGCAGGGAATTGTCCATGTTTTACTCCGAGGTGGGAAGTGTCGATGTTTTACCTCGAGTAGGGAATTGTCCATGTTTTACTTCGTGTAGGGAATTGTCCATGTCTTACTTCATGTAGGGAATTGTCCATGTTTTACCTCGAGTAGGGAATTATCAATGTCTTACCTCATGTTGGGAATTGTCCATGTATTTGTTACACGACGCAACAGATTAAAAATAAATGGCGAGCGAGCCAGATTTACATTTTGTGAAAGGTTGAAATGAAGTGACAGTGGAGAAAATACTTGACTGACTATCGAATCTGAACCCTGCAGAATCGAAAAATACATCCTTTTCTGATTGAACTACAAACTGATGTTGATACTCATCCAAGACTGTTGATTTTTATGACCGGCGAGTTTTGATCATGTTTTCACATATGTGCCTCTACCCAGCATGCAACAAAAGAGTGACAATGCTGGCCTAACACAGTGATTTGTGTAAATGTGACTTACCTGGGATTCTTTGGAAATGGTTTTCATCATTTGGGACTGGATTGTGGCCAAGCTTTTTAATAAAGTGTACGGCCATGGATCACCAGCATTGACAGCCTTGTGGGGAAGCTGGCAGAAAGCAGAATTCTGGTGGTTCAGTTTTTGACATGTACGGACATGCAACGGGACAATAGGGAGTATGAGTGGCATAAG